AGCGGGCCGCCGGCGCCAGCAGGTGAGACCCAGCCCCTCCTCCCTGGGGCCGCCTGGGCGGAGGCTTGGGGCGGATTGAAACTTTCGGGGGCTCACTCCACTCCCTCCCCGCCGTCGGCTCCATCCGGCCTGATTTGCTCGGATTGCGTATGGAAACTGCCGTGGCCCCAGGAGCTGAGTATTTGCAAATATGCCCCGAACTCACGTCGGGTGAAATAAGCGGGGTTTTAAGTTCCTCTGCAGCATGGCCTTTCAGCTTCCGTTGCAGATGCTTTCCCAGTAGGAAGCACTACTGAACTCAAACGCGGACTAAGAAGAGACCCAAGACGCTGCCCCGGGGACAGCCAGTCGCGTCGGTCGCGCAGGGTCCGGGGCTCCCCTGGGTGCGTGCTCCCGGGGAACCGCGCGGAGCCGTCCGCAGGGGCTCCCCGATGCCTCCTCTCTGCCGGCTCCTCCTGCGGGTTCAGGGCTGGTCCCGGTACCGCCACCCTCACTCTGTCTCGTTTACAACAGACTGTGGCCCGGGTTCTGCATGTTGCATCTTACTGGGCATAACTACTGAGCACTAATTTTAAATTTTAAATATAAATGATTGTTACTCTGATTTCTCTTGGACGGAGGATTTGAAAATTCTTGAGAGAAATGTAAATGGCTGAAGTTTTCTGTTTTTTGCCACATGGCTGTACCATCAACCGAAAAAACAGACATTTCTAAGGAACGACTGGCTGGTTTTGCTTCCTTTCTAAGGGAGCAGTATGAAAATTTATTTTATTTCTTCAAGTGAACTATTCCCTCATCACAAGTTAAGAGCAAAGGAATTTCCAGTTTCAGGGCTGAGGAAATCCGTGCATTTACATAATCTCCTGTAAAAATGCCGAGGGCTGAATCCTATTAGTTACCACGGAGGTAAGAAAGCCAAAAGATTTATTTTTCTGCTTTCAACTCAAGGCTTAGGTTTGTGTGACGGTATCTGATGGAATGAAATTCCAGGATTTCTAATGAGCTTGGTCTGCAACAGGCTAAGGGGAGCGTCCCATCACTTAGCATTTCTAAGAGGACAAACGGGGAAGGAAGAGAGACAAAGCCAGGCAGGACTCGTTCACCAAGATCAATTTTATTGCTTAGGAACTGGAGCGGTCATTTCTAAAGGCCTCCACTGTGACCAACAGCTGAAACCCCGCTGAACAGAATCGCCGTTCGGAAGTGGACAGCACAGTGACCGCAGCCCTGACCCAGACCCCCATCCCAGTCAAGAACACAGATTCGGCAAGTGGACCCACATCACTTGCACTGGTAGTGACTGACCTAACACAAGTGTGTGCCTGCGGCCTCCCAGCCCAGGACTTCTTAGTGTTCTAGAGCAGACAAATAAACGCACGTCTCACCCGCGGGCTCCCCGTCAGCTCGGGCGCTCGCTCTGCGGGGGGAGTGTGGGCAGCTCGGTTTACGCGGGGCGTTTGCAGCTGAGCCCAGGACGCTTACAGTTCTGTTTCACTTAATGTTTTATATACAGCCCATGTTAAAAGCAATTTCTATTGGAAGCAGACTAGGCTATTTTTACTTCTCCCATGATATTATTGTTTTATGTATAATACTTGGCACCATAGAACAGTAACAAAAGACAGACAAAACGGTTTACAAAATTCTTAAAAGGTACACCCAAGCTGGCTATAACCTTCACATTCAGGTCTAATATTAACACAGGCGAAGGCAGAGGAGCAACGGCTGCTAGTGTAGCCAGGTGCTGGCGCTGACCACCCGCGATGCGCTGCCAGGTCACGTCACCCGTTCTGCAGGTGTGTGTGTGATGTTCACATAACTAAACTCCTAGACTCCAATTCTACCCGCTGATACGACACGCTCGAGCATTCATACTAGAAAGTACATTTAGCATAAGTTTTGGTAAGATTTATAAATTATTTTAAAAAGTATATATTTATATATATTTATATATAAAACTGGGAAGCAGCTGCAGTGTGATTCAGAAACCATGTACATGGCAGTAGAGGGAACAACACGGGAGGGGCCGCTGGCTGACACCAGGGCCCTCGCTGTCCTAACAGTGGCCATGCTGCCCGAGTCAGCACAGAGCCTGCTCCCGCCCCGGGCACACCTCCAGCTGGCAGAGGGGACGTCTGATACCCATGGGGTTCCCACGCTGATGATCATTACAAACTGAAAACCGTGAAGTCTAAAATACGAAATCTCTGCTGTCTATTAGAGTTTTGGCAACAGGACTGTGACTTATTAAAAAACCCAATATTTCTACTTAATGTCACATGAACAGACAAGACAGTGAGGTATGTGAGGCTCCCCCGGATGGCCGGAGGCTGAAGCGAAGTGTGGGCCAGCCGACTAGCGGGTGGCGCTCGGGCGGGTTAATCGATGCAGCTGTTGAGTGTGGATTTCAATGGACGCGACTTCCATCTGCTCCTCACGCTACAGGCAGGGCTCGCGAAGGGTCCTCTCGTGTCGCTGGCATCGCCTCCCTGCAGCGGAACCAGTGGTTTGTTAAAGGGACAGACACACCAGGAAAAGCTCAGAAAAGGTGAACTCAAGGGAAGGAGCCATATTTACCACACGTCACTGCACGACACAACACTTGTGCACGTGTGCGTGAGCTTTACCTGCCCCGGGCGCCACGCGGAAGGCCAGGAACACGGGCTGCAGCGGGAGAAGAGGAGGGTGTCAGGACTCGGGCAGCCGCCGGCCGACCCGCCCGCTCTCCCTCTCGGGCTGCCTGAGCCGAGGAGCTGGTGACCTCGAGGCCAAGGCTGCGTTACCCTGTCCCGCACGGGACCCGGGTGACAGGAAATGAAGCCGGGCTGGACGACCAGGGGCTCCAGGCAAAGTGCCTTCGTGTTTTGTAAAGAGGTATTATTTCCAGATAAAAACTAATGTAAAAACTGATTTAAAGACTGCTATGCCCCCAAATAATGGGGGGTGTGTGCGTGTGTGGCAGAGCTCTTGTCCTCGCTTGGGTCTGCTCCTGCCGGTGCCAGCGTAGGGGCTGCGTCTCATACCCAGGGGCCTCCAGAACAGGAAAG